AAAAGGAAAGACAGCCCATGTTTCATGGGATGGAAGAACAAATATTGTTAAAATGTGTATGCCCACTATATATTTAACGCAATGCCTATCAAATTACCAATTAAAATTTTTATAGAACTAGAATAAATAATCCTAAAACTTGTATGGATCCATAAAAGATCTGAATATCCAGAGCAATCTTGAAAACCAAAACAAAACTGAAGGTATTACAATTCCAGATTTCAAGTTATATTACAAAGCAGTAGTAATTTAAAAAGTATGGTAGTAGCATAAAAACAGACACATAGATCAATGGAATAGAATATAAAACACAGAAATAAACACACAAGTATATGACCAATTAATCCTGGACAAAGGAGGAAAAAACATACAATGGGAAAAAGTCTCTTCAACAAATGGTGTTGGGAACACTGGACAGCTACATGCAAAAGAATGAAACTAGACCACTTTCTTTCACCATAGAAAAAAAGTAAACTCATTAAAGACCTAAATGTGAGACAGGAAACCATAAAAATCCTTGAAGAGAACACAAGTAATAATTTCTCTGACACTGGCCATACCAACGTTTTTCTACACAGATCCCCTAAGGTAAGAGAAACAATAGCAAAAATAACTACTGGGACTATATCAAAATAAAAAGCTTCTTGGGGACCTGGGTGGCTGAGTTGGTTGAGCATCCGACTTTGGCTTGGGTCATGATCTCACAGTTGGTGCGATGGAGCCTCACATCGGGCTCTGTGCTTACAGCTAGCTCAGAGCTTGGAGGCTGTCTTGGATTCTATGTCTCCCTCTCTTTCTGACCTTCCCCTGCTCATGCTGTCTCTCTCTCTCTCTCAGAAATAAATAAAAACAATAAAAAAAATAAAAGCTTCTGCACAGCAAAAGAAACAATCAACAAAACTAAAAGACAACCTAATGAATGGGAGAAGATATCTACAAATGACATATCCAATAAAAGGTTAGTATCCAAAGTATATATAAAGAAGCTATACAACTCAACACCCCCTAGAAAACAAATAATCCAATTTTAAAAAAAAGGGTAGAAGACATGAACAGACATTTCTCCAAAGAAGACGACCAGATGGCCAAAAGACACATGAAAAGATGATCAACATCACCCATCATCAGGGAAATGCAAATCAAAACCACAATGAGGTGTTACTTCACACCAATCAGAATGACTTAAATCAAAAACACAGGAATCAACAAGTTTTGGCAAGGACAGGGAGAAAAGGGAACCACTGTGTACTATTGATAGGAATGCAAACTGCCACAACCACAGTGCAAAACAGTATGGAGATTCCTCAAAGAATTAGAAATTGAACTACCCTACAATCCAGTAATCACACTACTATTTCCCCCAAAAAATACAAAAACACTAATTCAAAGGGATACATGCACCCTGTTTACTGCAGCATTATTCACAACAAATTATGGAAGCAGCCCAAGTGTCCATCAACAAATGAATCGATAAAGAAGATGTGGTCTGCGTGTATGTACATACACACACACACACACACACACACACACAGGAATATTATTGGGCCATAAAAAAGAATGAAATCTTTTATTTGCAACAACATGGATAGACCTAGAGAGTATAATGCTAAGCAAAATAAGTCAGTCAAAGAAAGACAAACACCATATGATCTCACTATGGAAGTTAAGAAACAAAACAAATGAGCAAAGCAAAAAAAAAAAAAGGGAAAGAGAGAGACAAATCAAGAAACAGAACAAACTGATGGTTGCCAGCAGAGAGGTGGGAAGGGGGATGGTTGAAACAGGTGATAAGAGATTAAACAGTACACTTGTCATGATGAAATAAAATTAAATATATATATTTATGCTTAACTGACTAAGCCACCCAGGTGCCCCCAGTAAAGCCCATTACTTGACAAGACCTACCCATACTCATATAACTTTAAATTTTTTTGTCTCAATCCAAATATATGCTGATAGGCATAGGTCATAAAATAAATTTTTCATAATTTAAGCATTTTCCAATTGAGAGAGTCTACTGAAATAATGAATTAAAAAAAAAAAAACAACCCTATTCCAAACCACACTACCGTGAAATTTCAGAATATCAGAGAAAATGAGAAAAACATAAAACCTTCCATGGAGAAACAAGTCACATACCAAAAAATCAGGATCAGAGTAACATAGAATTTCTTCCTAGAAGGTATAATGCAAGGAAGCATCACCTTTAAAAATATGAGGAAAAATTATTTCTAATGTAGAATTTTATATCCAAACTATAAATTAAGAGGAGTGGTAACTGCTAGGAATTTACCCAAGGGATACAGGAGTGCTGATGCATAGGGGCACATGTACCCCAATGTTCATAGCGGCACTCTCCATAATAGCCAAATCATGGAAAGAGCCGAAGTGTCTATCAACTGATGAATGGATCAAGAAGATGTGGTTTATCTATACAATGGAATACTACATGGCAATGAGAAAGAATGAAATCTGGCCATGTGTAGCAACATGGATGGAACTTGAAGGTGTTATGCTGAGCAAAATAAGTCAGGCAGAGAAGGGCAGATACCAAAAGTTTACATGTATAGGTGGATTAGGAAGAATTTAACGGAGGACCATGGGGGAGAAGAAGGGGAAAAATAGTTGGGGAGAGGGAGGGAGGCAAACCATGAGAGACTCTTGGAATGCCGAGACAAAAATGAGGGCTGATGGGGGGAGGGGCAGGGGAAGGGGGGTGATGGGCATGGAGGAGGGCCCTTGTGGGGATGAGCACTGGGTGTTATATGGAAACCAACACAATAAACTATTAAAAAAAACAACAAAAAAAAAGTACACTGGTATAAGATTTTTTAAAAAGGAGTGATAAAATAAGGACACTTTTAGAGGTGAAGTTCTCAAAAGTTTAATTCTCCTAAAATTAGGAGTGAAAACAAGAAGAAAAAAAAAGATCTTGGAAACAGGAGGTCCAGCACAAGGCAAATGATATTCCCCAGATTATCTGTGAAAGGAGATCCCAGAAGTACAACCACGTCATCTTAGTGAACAATTGGTCCACGCTGGAGCAGGAGAACAAAGAACTCCCAAAAGATACTCTATTAGATGAAACTAATAAGCTGATTAACAGGTTTAATCACATTGAGAAAAAATGTATACTTTCGACAAAGAATTTGGTGATCAGTGATAGGTGTAAGGAAAACAATAGAAACAAATGAGAGAGAAAGAAAAAAAAATAGTCACCCTCCTACTGATGACATTTATAGGTTTAGCCATATAACAGTGCTTAAACTAGAAGATGATTTCTTTTCTAAAGGAAGTCCAGAGAAGGTGGGTCAGCGTTCCTAGCATGGTGTTCCACGGTGTCAGAACCTAGGTTTCTTCTCTCTTGTTCCATCTCCAGCAGTGGCTTCTACCTCACAGCTTATCCCCCTATCCACATTTCAGCATGCTGAAATATGAGACAAAGATGGGAACCACCCTTCCTACACTATTTTAAGATCTCTTACAAGAGGTCATAAATGTGCTCTAACACATCCCACTATCCAGGACTTAGTCACATGACTGCACCATGCTGTGTGTGGGTTCCACTGCTAATTTTTTTTAAAGTGGGCCAAAAAGAGGGTGGACAATGATAAATAACAATCTCTGCTACCTCCCTCCACCACTTTCTATTCTTCATATTTTCCATTGTTTTTCCTCACCGTATTTATTAATCTCTGATATATTTTCTCTTCATTGCTTGCTTCCTGTAACTTTTAAGTTCTAAAGGATAATAACTCAATCTTTTGTTCAACTCTGGATACCAGTTTCTAGAAATGTTCCTAAACATAAAAGAAATGTAATAAATATAGGTTGAATGAGTGAATGAATTGTTAATTCGAGGGGGGTAAAGTCTAAGAAAATCAATTTAAATATTAAAGATTGAGCCCAGATGACGGACTTTTTTAGTCTACATTAGTTACAAATGGATGTCCATCATCCAGAAAAACTGACTCATGCCCTCTGGAATTGTAACTTTTAAAAGCCTACTGTCCTCTGAATAGATAACTGAAAAGTCATTGCACAAGGCACAATTCCCTAGACCTAATAATTTAAGCAATGACATTGTTTGCAGTAATGTAATTAACAATAATGTTAACATTAACATTACTTACATTACTAAGTAAACTAATGTAATCAATTAACTGTTTTTAATGTAAGTATTATTAGATGCTGAAAAGAATATTATTTTGATGGAATGGTACATAATAGACTTAAAACCTCTTCTTGCATAAAATAAGTCAACAGATACTTTCTATAACTGAAAAAATCATGAAATCCCTGAATATGCCTCTTATTTTAAAATATAAAAACGGGCACTAGAAAAAAACAGCTTGAAATGCTGGTGTTATTTTGGTGACCAAAGCCAGAGACAGGGAGTACTGACTGAACTAGATCAGAGGTCAGCTGTTTTGGTTTTAAGGCTTACGGAACTATCCAGTGTTAAAGAGTGTTTGGCTTTTTCCCGTCGGTGCCCTAGTTCTTCTGAGCTCCTGGGGAATACAGTTTCAAATCATTACTAGGGGCGTCATATGGTCATGCAGGGTTGGCGATTTGAGAAAACAATGCATTTGATGAAGAAAAATGAAGCCTCCCTGTCCTGACGCGGAAGTCACCCAGACTAAAAATGAACCGGGACAAATCCTCCACGATTTTCAACGCACGGCATTATACATGCACGCATCATGCTTCCTTCTCAAAGGGCAAACACGCTCGCATTCTGCGCACGGACTTTTAAGAACTGTGCGCAACTGCGCGTGGACACGAGCTGACTGGCTCAGAAAGGTGGAACAGCAACGCTCCCCGCGTTCAGTCAATTCTAACGCCCCTCTGACGTTTGGGTGAGAATGTTTGAGGAAACGGAGGGGCGGAGAGGGCCAGGCCCGAACGCGACGGGCGCAGGGCCAGCGGACGCCACCAGCCAACCGGGCGGCGCCGCCGCACCTCCAGGCACCAGAGGCGGAGCTGCCGCCGCCGAGTCCCGCCCCAGCCTGCGTCCGCCAGTAGTCCAGTCGCTGCCCTTTTCCACGCAGGTTAGCCGTAACGGGAGGAACCGAGGAAGGAATACCGGCTAGCTGTTCTTCCCAGCGCTCGCAGCCGCGCCATGCTCGTCCTCCGAAGCGGCCTGACTAGAGCTCTGGCTGCGCGGACGCTCGCGCCTCAGGTACCGGTCGCGCGGACGTGCCTAAGCCGTGCCCTGGGGGAGGGGAGGGGCGTCAACAAAAAGCTCGCAGATCCGCGCATGCGTTCACCGGTTCCCGTGCCCGACTTGCGAGTGCCGCGCATGCGTCTAGGCGGTTCTCGTATCCAGATTGAGAGTGCGGAGTCTCCGTGGAAGTTCTGGTCTCAATCAGTTCCAGACCCCGGAGGCAGGGTATCTCAGACCGCGTGAGAGGAAGGGGGAGCGGCTCGGAGAAAGTCGGCTGGCCACTGTAGTCTCCTGGCCAACTCGCGAGCAACCGGGAACGGGATTTTTCTGGTGAAGAACCAAAAATTAAGTCCTCCATTAAGAGCTACCTCGGGCTGCACGTAGCCCCAATCCCAGTCCCAATCTCAGACTGTTAAAGGCTAAAGCCATCCTTGTATGGCCCTCAGTTCAGCTAATCAAAAAACATTCCTATGGTCTGAGTCAAGGCGGGGAACTGCAGATACAAACTAGCCAGTTTCTCACTGCCTGCCTGAACCCCACGTGGGCCCTTTAAACTCACCTCATAATTGGTCATTTTCAAAGGATTCTCAAAAGTCATGATTGGGTCCCACCAAAAGTAATGAACACCTCACAGATACTAAATGGTCAAAGCTGTAATTGTAATTGGTACTTATGTGATGATGCTACATGTACTGTAACACCCCCATCCCTTACTCCTTAAAAACCCTATTCGCTATTGTTCAAGGCTTCATCTTGCTGCCACAACACCAGTAGGCAGATGAGCCCCTGCTCGAGCTTGTAATAAAGACCCTTTTGTATTTGCATCGGTGTCGGCTCCTTGGAGGTCTCTGGGAACTCGTGAATCTGGCACAACACTGGCCTAAGTGCCAGATGGCCCTGAGGACACTCCTGAAGCTCTGGCTGCTGTGTTTTTGCCTACCAGGCCCCTGCGTTCGCCACGTTGGGGATTTTGCCCGGTGCTTGCTGATCGAGCCTTTCCTATTTGTCATTTGACAAGCCACCGCCCCTTCCAGACTGAAGGTAGAGGAGAAAATAGGATAACCGGCCACTGGTGTTAAGAACTAGCCTCTTCGAAATACACACAATTTAACGAGCGTTTTGCGGAGAACTTGAAAAGGAGGCCCAGGGTGTGTGTGGTGGAGCATCCAGCCCAGCTGCCCATAATGTCTTGTGGGTGGTGTCAAAAGCAGGCAGGGCCAGGAGCCTCACAACAAAGTCTTAACAACCTCATTTAACCTTGGATGAGAAACGTGTACAATAGATTTTTGTGATTTAGCCTTAACTGTCTGGAACCGGCCTATTCTGTCAATCCACAGATATTTAAACTTGTACTCCTTTCTCAAAGGGTAGGATGGGAAGGGGATTAACCTACTCTAAAAACTGACTTCCTGGGCGCCTGGGTGGCTTAGTTGGTTAAGCGTCCAACTTTCGCTTAGGTCATGATCTTGCGGTTCGTGGGTTCGAGCCCCGCGTCGGGCTCTGTGCTGACTGCCAGCTCAGAGCCTGGAGCCTATTTCGGAGTCTGTATCTCCCTCTCTCTCTGACCCTCCCCTGCTCACGCTGTCTCTCTCTCCTAGAAATAAATAAAAAAATATATATATATATAAAAATAAATAAAAACTGACTTCCTGGTGAAGACTGAAGAAGAATCAGTAATGGCCCATGAACATTGAAGAAGAATCAATAATGGCCCAATCATTATTGGCAACCTTAATTCTCACTCTTTTGGGGCAGGGCCAATAGTTATTCCTTACAACTTTATTCTGGACTGTTATTTTTTTTAGATATTGACCAATTGTTCAAAGTGAATTGGAAGTCAGTGCTGCTTAAAATGAGCCCTCATTTGGAGAGAAGAGAGCCTAGAGCACTCATGTTTCCTACCTCAGCATAGTGGCCTTGTGTTGGTGGTTATACTAGTGTCCCTCAACAAAAATCACCTCACCCCTTCCCAAACACACCCCTCTCATTGCTTCCTTGCTGTTAACTCTCCCTGAGCTTCCCTATTGTACACTCTTTTGCAAAAGACAATAAAAATCTGTGCCTGTGATCACTTATTTTGTTCTCCGAATACAAATTCCCTGAAAAACAACTTAAAAGCAATTGTCACAAGTACCCCATTGGCTCATTTTGATATATTTACATTTTTAAGCGATAAGTATTGTGCAGTTTTCATTTGCATAGCATTTTATTATTAGAGTGGTAAAATGGCACCAAAAAAAAAAAAATGTCAGCTAAAGGTAGAGGTAGCTGTAATTGTTTTGATGGCAAACTAGTCAGTCAGGCAGTAAGAATATAACTCATCATAGACATGAATGGCATGAATGAGATGAGCTCAATTAAGTCTTATACAGAAAATACAAGCAAAATACATACACTATTGTGCTTTGTAAATATTTTGACATATCAGAGCAAGAATCCTGCTTTTGATTGTTGTATCAGCTGGTCAGCATAAGCCCAAAATTCATCTATACCTTTGTAGGTATCAAAACTGTTGAGATAGATTATTATGGTGTAATCAGCTTCAGGAAATATGCACATGCTAACCAAACTTAGGTAAGATCGATTTGTAAACTGGAATTTCATATGAGTGTGTCTGTGTTGATATACATAAATTTGTGTGTGTGTGTATATATATATATACACACACATATCTATACACAGGGATAATTTCTGGCAAAGTATTTCCCACTGAAAGTCTGGTTCACTCAGAGAACCAAATCAGAAATTTACATAGTGGGTGTATGACTATTACAAAAGGAACTAATGGTTCTTAAAAAGTATTTCCATCAACATAATTGAGTGGGTTAAATAACCTTCTTCACATTGCATCTGTAATTAAAAACATAATGAGTCAGATAATTGTGAATTTATTTCCTTTTTCTAGCATTTACAAATTCTATCACTATATTACAATGCAATTGAATAGGTCATAGTTTCCTAATACATTGAATTACTGTCCTCTATTATTTTGACCAGTGGTCTACATCATTGGATTTAGGAAATACTTTGACTTGACCAGCAATTTCCATTGTTTTAAGAACCTAAGAAAATGAATTTTCTGCTAGTAAACATATTTCCATTCTGCCAGCCAAAGTACCTGTATATTCTATAAAATTGTTTTAAATGCTTAGCTCTAACACATATATATTCTATTGACTAAAAATGGAATGTTTGCTAAATGAAGGATAATAAACTATTTGCAAAACTTACCAGGATCCTAATTGTAGTTTTGGGGTAAAGAAATTGCCCTAGTGGCTTCTTAGAAGAAACTTCTTATAAAAAAGCACCTAAAGGTAGAGGAAACAGTAGCTGTATAATTGGAATACTTAAAAGTTTTGTTTATTGATATCTCTCTAAACAAATGTCTGTGGAGAGAGGACAACAGAAATACAGATTGTGTCTACTGAGTGTCCCTTGTTTCCAGACCTAGATATTATTGTAACACAATATTATAAACCCTACCTTCCCAACATATTTAAATTTGCCTTATTTTTCTTCAGGTTTTCTCATCTCTTGCTACAGGCCCCAGACAATATGATGGAACATTCTATGAATTTCGTACTTATTATCTTAAGCCCTCAAAGATCAATGAGTTCCTGGAAAATACTATGAAAAACATTCATCTTCGGACAGCGTACTCTGAATTGGTCGGATACTGGAGTGTAGAATTTGGAGGCACAATGAATAAAGTGTTTCATATTTGGAAGTATGGTATGAGTCATTAGCTTAAGTATTCAGTACAGATTTTCATTCTGTTAGATGTTACCTGAGATTTAGTTCTTAGATCTGTATTACCATAAATACATACAAGTGAAGTAAAACTTATAAATAACAATACCAAAATATAAAGTCAGTGATTGCACCTCCCACTGGTATACCTCTAATAGCCTATTGCTGGAAACTTTTATTAGAATATGGGAATGTAATGTTGAGAAAATGGTATCTCAAATTTCAATTCATTAAATTGTGAGCCACACTTTAATTCTTAGGAAAAGTTAAGAATAGCTTATTGTATAGATGGTTTATGAAAAATTTAAAACAATGATTGCAAGAACCCAAGCAGTTAAGATCATAAAAGGAAAGCAGAATTGTATTTATTATTATTATTATTGAAACTATCGCTGGATATCAGTATTTTAATAGAAATCATTCAAATGTCTAGGGGCTTTAGGGAAATAGAATAGGAAACTTTGAAGCCCTCACCCTTCTGTAAGATATAATAAATCTGCTATGTTTCAGACCACTTTTGTTTTACTTCTGCACCCCAGAGTTTCAAGACATTTACTGTCATACTCATCTGTGGAGGTAAAGGAAAAGGAATTAGAGTTCTTCCCATATTGAAGCTGATGTACCCCTGGTCTAGTAGAGGAAGGAGTATGGTTACTGGAATCTCCAGAATGTTTGTTACTCCATTGTCTAATCTTTCTGAAGTCCTAATACATCATGATATCCAAAAATTTTAGTAATTTCAGTTAGTATTTGGTTATTAGTGTCCAAAGTTAATAGTCATAAAATACTTTAATATGAAAAGTGTTCATTCTATATGTAACATGGCCATAGTTTAGGAGTTTTCCCAAATTTAGAACAAACCCCATTAAAAACAACTTATGCTTCAAGGCACCGCCAGCTGAATTGTGTCCTATTAAAACAAAAAACAAACAAACAAACAAACAAAACTAGTAAGGTCCTTATAATACTTACTTTAAAAGTTCTAAGATAGATGTTATTCCTTATCTACAGAATAAACCATAGAGAACTATTTTACCATTGGTCTTCTGAGGCTTTTTTGGTTAAATGTAGTACTAGGCCCATATAATGGCACTGAGTAAAAAGAATGGATGACAGAAAATCAGCACTATTTCTTGGGAAGCTGTTGGTTCAAAGCAGCAGCTGTCAAAGTACAGCTTAATTTCATTTATGTTAAATTTAAGTTGTATCTTGACCTGATCACCCATCACCACCACCACCACGACCAGAAAGACACTCTTTCTCGAATCTGCAACTGTAATTTAAATGCCTCAATTAAATTAATAAGAACAGTTAATGTATATTGAGTTCTGACTAGGTGCCAAACACTGTCCTAAGGTCCTTTCTTGTACTAATTCATTTAATCTTAACCCTAGAGGGTGATACTGTATCATTATCTCCATTTTACTCTGTAAACAGGAACAGAAAGATTTAATAACCTAAGTCACACAACTACCTACTAAGCGGTAGAGTTAGTTAAGCCCACTGTATGACATTATCGTTAGTTGTTTCCATTTCTACTCCCCTTCCAGACCATGAGCACCTTGGGGACAGATGTCACATCTGTATGCATCTCAAGTGATATAATACAGTATCCTTATGTAGCTTCAATGGACACTTGATGAACTAAATGAAACCCAGAAAAAGTACAGGTGATTTAAATCACTAATTTTTGTTTTTCTTTCTCCTTTTTCTTTCATAGATAATTTTGGCCATCGAGCTGAAGTTCGGAAAGCATTGGCCCAAGATAAGGAATGGCAAGAACAATACCTTATTCCAAATTTGGCTCTTATTGATAAACAGGAGAGTGAGATTACTTACCTGGTGCCATGGTGCAAATTAGAAAAGCCTCCAAAAGAAGGTAAGTCCTCCCCTTTTAGTCATTTTGAATTCTGATGGAGAAAATATTAAAGATTTTAAACTGTAAAAACTCACGTTCTTCTGGAAAAGAAATGAAGTTAATCCTTTGTTTAATATAGGAACATATGTTGATTGTTCAGATAAAAATAAATTGGTGCTCTTAGCTTATCCTTTTAAAAATGAGCATTAAATAATGAAGTATTTTTCCATGTTAGTATCTTATTGATTCTTAAAACTTAGCTGTAGTATAGAAAAAGTTGATATGGTCAGTAAAGGTTGAGAAGTTGGACCTAGGGAGCAGGAAACACATCTGTGGGTAGGTGAGGGATAATATATGATTCTTTTTCATAATTATAAAATAACATAACTTTTTAAATATAAAAGTATTTTTCCATAGATTACAATGAATCTTAAGTACATATTTGCTTATAAAATGGACTAGGGGAATGAATTAACTGAAATTGCCAAGCTCCATTACTGTAGTCTAACTTTTATGTCTTCCTCTTTCTTATTTCTCAGTTTGAAAATAATTCCTAAAGATTTGTCTTCTTGCTGATTTCACTTCTTGCTGACTTAAAGAAATTATTGCCTCAATCCAGTTTTAAAAAAAGGTCAGATTAGCAAAAGCATAAACTAATTTAAATGTTATTTCCCCCACTATTCCTAACTTTCAGTGAATTTTAGATTACAAAAGATTTGAAAAATCTTATATAGAAACTTATCCTCTTAGCTCCCCTTCAGCTTTCAGCACTAACTGAATGAACTGGTTGGCTTCTCAGAAAGTATCAGATCTTGGTTCTTTTCCTCTATGTTGTTATTCATGATTCTTTGATAACCTTTGCATGTTTTTCTTTTACTTCTCAAATCTACTTGTCCCCTGGTTTCCTTCTCTTCACCCAGCCTATATTTCCATCCAGAAGGTAAAATGCTTTTCAAGTATTTACCTGGATATTTGGGAATAATAAAAACATCTCCTTTAGAATTATTTTTTTCCTCAGAATTCTAAGACAATCACTCAGGCTCATTATTTGCTTGCTGCTCCTGTTAGAAATGGAATCTTACATGGGGAAATTATATAAAGAGAAAAGTAGTGAAAATGGGAATGAAGAATGGAAAATAAGAGACTGGAAATACTTCCTTACTTACTTCTTTTGTAAAAGTATAGCCTTAGGCAACTAAAAATATCCTATTCCATTATAAATCCTCACTAACTTTTATTGACAAATTTTACGGATTAAAAATAGTTTAGGTAATACCTTATCTACAGAGTCCATCCGTTTTTCATTGTTCTCTATGATAAGTTAAACGACTGACTGTTAAAGTCATACCAAGACTGTCTAAACCTAAAAGCAAAGAAAAACAATACAAAGTATTAATAAATTTGTCTGTATAAACATGTATATGAGTATGATCCTCAAAATCTATATATGTAGTTAGCCTTGCACTCGAACCAAACTGAACATGATTAGAAATTGCTTGAATATGTTCTGTAAAATAATTATTTTTCTCCCTACTCTAGGAGTCTATGAATTAGCTACTTTTCAGATGAAACCTGGTGGGCCAGCTCTGTGGGGTGACCCATTTAAAAGGGCAGTTCATACTCATGTCAATCGAGGCTACACGAAACTAGTTGGTGTGTTCCATGCAGAATACGGAGTACTCAACAGAGGTACAGTGTCCATTTCTTCCATGAAATTGCAAAATATATTGGTGATCCACATTAAGTTTCTCTGGTCAATTTGTCTCTGTTCTCATTATGGAGTATATTTTATTTTTTATTGCCCATATCTTAGCTTTTTGTAAATTTAAGGGGTGAGCAAACCTCTTCTACATTTGGAATGTTATTCACCTTACAAAGGTTTTTTCAAATACAGACCTGCTCTTTTTCCTATACATCAAAATGATAAAATTTTTAAAATTGGAAGGAACCTAAAAATGTCACCTATTCCTTTCATCATGTTATTTTCCTCTGAATGTACTTTTAATGATTTTTTCCTTTTTTCCCAGTTTTATTGAGATATAATTGATATATAACATGGTATAAGTTTAAGGTATACAACATAATGATCTGAAATCTGTATATATTGTGAAACAGTCACCACAATAAGTTGAGTTAACATCCATAACCTCACAGTTACAAATTGTTTTTCCTTCTGATGACAATTTTAAGATATAATCTCTTATCAGCTTTCAAATATTCAATACAGAATTGTTAATTGTAGTCATCATGTTGTGTATTACATCCCCAAAATTTATTTATCTGATAACTGTAAGTTTGTGCTTTTTGTGATTTTTAAAAAAATAACATTACTAGGGGTAGAGAGATTATTTCTGGGTGAAAAAGTAGTATATAGTTATTATAAATATTAAAGCCATGGACAAGCCCAAAGAAAAAAATATCCATTTCCACTACTTACATATATATAGTATATATATGATACAAGTGTATGGTTTAATTTATTTAATAAAATGTCTATTTGGGGTATTTAATGTTTAAAGTCAAAAGACATTCCCATCAGAATTTCAGAGAGTTTTCTTGTGGCAAACTGAAAAATGTTTGTTTATCAGAATGGATATGAGAATGGATAATGTTTATCAGAAAGGATAAATGACTAAGAATAGCTAACAGATATTTGAAAGACTTATAATAACAAGGTGCCTCCTCATCTTCTCTACTTCACGTCCAATGGACATCTCAAACCTAACAAATCCAAAGCTGAGCTGATTATTGCTCAGAAAAGCAACTTCTACTAATATAAACGTATATATTATAGATATACATTCAAGTTGGAAAATATATGAAAAGGAGAAAAAATACTAGATGCCTATCTCACTATATGCTAAAATAAAATCAAAGTAGATTATGGATTTCAATTTAAAAAGTGAATTCATACAATTAATAAAAAAATATAGATAAATATATTTAATAATATGTATGGAAACAGTATTTCTAAGCCAAAAAGCAAATGAAGAAACTATGAAAGAAAAAAGAATAAACTGATGATTTTTATTTATTTATTTATTTATTTATTTATTATTTTTTTTTTACAAATAGTTTATTGTCAAATTAGTTTCCACATAACACTCAGTGCTCATCCCCACAAGTGTCCTCCTCCATGCCCATCCCTCCTCCACCCCACATCCATCAGTCCTCAGTTTTTGTCAGCATTCAAGAGTCTCTCATGGTTTGCCTCTCTCCCTTTCCCCCACCATTTCCGCCCTTCTTCTCCCCCTTGTTCCTCCGTCAAGTTCCTCCTGATCCTCCTATAGGTGCAAACATATGATATTTGTCCTTCTCTGCCTGACTTATTTCGCTCAGCATAACACCCTCAAGGTCCATCCATGTTGCTACACATGGCCAGATTTCATTGTTTCTCATTGCCATGTAGTATTCCATGGTATAGATAAACCACATCTTCTTGATCCATTCATCTGTTGATGGACACTTAGGCTCTTTCCATGTTTTAGCTATTGTGGAGAGTGCTGCTATGAACATTGGGGTACATGTGCTCCTATGCCTCAGCATTTCTGTATCCCTTGGGTAAATTCCTAGCAGTGCTATTGCTGGGTCATAGGGGAGTTCTATTGTTAGTTTCCTGAGGAACCTCCGCACTGTTGTCCAGAGGGGCTGTACCAGTTTACATTCCCACCAACAGTGTAGGAGGGTGCCCGTTTCTCCACATCCTCGCCAGCATCTAGAGTTCTCCGATTGGCTCATTTTAGCCACTCTGACTGGTGTGAGGTGGTATCTCAGTGTGGTTTTGATTTGTATTTCCCTGATGAGGAGGGATGCTGAGCATCGTTTCATGTGTCTGTTGGCCATCTGGATGTCCTCTTTGGAGAAGTGTCTGTTCATGTCTTCTGCCCATTTCTTCACTGGGTTGTTTGTTTTTCGGCCGTGTAGTTTGGTGAGTTCCTTATAGATTCTGGATATTAACCCTTTATCTGATATGTCATTTGCAACTATCTTTTCCCATTCCGTTGGTTGCCTATTAATTTTCTGGGTTGTTTCCTTGGCTGTGCAGAAGCTTTTAATCTTGATGAGGTCCCAACAGTTTATTTTTGCTCTTGGTTCCCTTGCTTTTGGGGATGTGTCAAGTAAGAAGTTGCTGCGGTGGAGGTCAAGGAGGTTGTTTCCTGCTTTCTCCTCTAGGGTGTTGATAGTTTCCTGTCTCACGTTCAGGTCCTTTATCCATTTTGAGTTGATTTTTGTGCATGGTGTGAGAAAATGATCTAGTTTCATTCTTCTGCATGTTGCTGTCCAGTTCTCCCAACACCATCTGTGAAAAAGGCTGTCTTTTTTCCATTGGATATTCTTTCCTGCTTTGTCAAAGATCAGTTGGCTGTATACTTTTGGGTCCACTTCTGAGTTCTCAATTCTGTTCCATTGGTCTATGTGTCTGTTTTTGTGCCAATACCATACTGTCTTGATGATGACAGCTTTGTAGTAGAGGCTAAAGTCTGGGATGGTGATACCTCCCGTTTTGGTTTAAACTGATGATTTTATTATACAAAGCTCAAACTTTGTGCTTCCCAAAACACCTTAAATGAAATCTAAAGGCGAAAAATAAACAAATATTCTGCAAAGGTAGACGCAGATGACTCCTAAAAATATATTAAAGAAGATGCAGATTGAAACAATAAGATGTCAGTTTAAAAAAAAAATTGTTTATTTTTGAGAGAGAGAGAGACAGAGAGAGAGAGCAACAGCATGAGCAGGGGAGGAGCAGAGAGAAAGGGAGACACAGAATCTGAAGCAGGCTCCAGGCTCTGAGCTGTCAGCACAGAGCCCAATGCAGGGCTTGTCCCCACAAACTGTGAAATCATAACCTGAGCTGAAATCAGAAACTTAACCTACTGAGCCACTCAGGTACCCCATAAGGTGCCAGTTTTTACCTAATAAAGATACATTATATAGATAGAGTATTACCTAGGTCAGAGAAAAATGAGCTCTACTTGTAGGATTTGTATCTGCTTCATCTTTCCTCAGGAAAAAAAAAATGGCAATATAAATAAAAAAGCTTGTTTTTTGACTTTTTTTTTATTTCAGTATAAGTAACATACAGTGTTATATTAGTTTCAGGTGTACAATACAGTGATTCAACAATTCTGTACATTACTCAGAACTCATCATGATAAGTGTAATCTTAATCCACTTCACATATTTCACCCATCCCTCTACCCATCTTCCCTCTGGCAACCACCAGTTTATTTTCTATATTTAAGAGTTTGCTTTTCATCATGTTGTTTCTTTGTTCATTTGTTTTATTTCTTATATTCTACTATGAGTGAAATCATGTGGTATTTGTTTTTCTCTGATTAACTTATTTCACATAGCATTAAACCTCTAGATCCATCTATGTTTGCAAATGGCAAGATCTCATTCTTTTTTAAGGCTGAGTAATATTCCATTGTATATACATACCACATCTTCTTTATCCATTCCTGTATCAATGGACACTTGGTCTGCTTCCATATCTTGACTACTTAATTAATGTTGCAACAAACACAGGGGTGCATAAACCTTTTCAAATTCATGTTTTCATATTCTTTGGGTCAATACCCAGTAGTGGAATTACTGTATCCTATGGTAATTCTATTTTTAATTTTTTGAGGAACCTTCATACTGTTTCCACAGTGACTGCATCAGTTTGCATTCCTACCAATGGTACATGAGGGTTCTTTTCTTTCCATATCCTTGCGAACACTTGTTTCTTGTGTTTTTGATTTTAGCCATTCTAACAGATGTGAGGTGATATCTCATTGTAGTTTTGATTTGATTTTCCCTGATGAATGATGTTGAGCATCTTTTCATGTGTCTGTTGGCTATCTGGATGTCTTATTTGAAGAAATGTCTATTTGTATCTTCTACCCATTTTTAAATTGGAATATTTCTTCTTTGGGTGTTGAGTTGTATAGGTTCTTAATAGATTTGGGATATTAACCCTTTATCAGATATGTCATTTGCCAATATTTCCTCCCATTCAGTAGGTTGTATTTACTATTGACAATGGTTCTCTTTGCTGTTTAGAAGTTTCTATTTTGCTGTAGTCCCAATAGTTTATTTTTGCTATTTTCCTTGCTTTAGAAGACATATCAAGAAAGATGTTGCTATGGCTAATGTCAAAGAAATTACTGCCTGTGTTTTCCTCTAGGACTTTTAGGGTTTCAAGTCTCATATTCAGGTCTTTAATCCATTTTGAGCTTATTTTTGTGTATAGTGAAAGAAAGCGATCCAGCTTCATTCTTTTGCATGTAGCTATCCAGTTTTCCCAATACCATTTGTTAAGACTTTCTTTTGCCTCTTTTGTCAAAGATTAATTGATCATATAATCATGGGTTTATTTCTGGCCTCTATTCTGTTCCACTGACCTATGGATCTATGCATCTATTTTTGTGCCAGGACCATACTGTTTTGATTACTACAGATTTGTAGTAAATTTGGGATTATGATGCCTCCAGTTTTGTTCTTATTTTTCAAGATTACTTTGGCTATTTGGGGTCTTTTGTGGTTCCATACAAATTTTAGGATTATTGGTTCTAGTTCTGTGAAAAATGCTGTTGGTATTTTTATAGGGTTGTATTAAATCTGCAGATTTCTTTGGGTAGTATGGATGTTTTAACAATACTCGTTCTCCCAATCCATGAGCAAGGAGTATCCTTCCTTTT